GATGTACAAAAAGAGTAACCCCCATACCTTGATATATCGGAATCATGTAACGGCATACGTAAAACTTATAAACAGTAATTAATATTGAATTGGAACCTTATCATGTGTATATACTCTACCCTCATGTAGGAGTATTTGAGTTAGTGCTAATGGGTGCATATCTTCTTTCGCATATGGATTTGGTGTATTCGGTACATGTTTTTGTCCTAGAAAGTTTGATGAGCATTCCGTCATCATTTTTCCCCTTAAAGTGTACCTTATTGTTGATATCCGTTCATTCTTTGACTTGTTTCTTGCTATTTTCTTCCTATTATTTTGTATGCTTATAAACTTCACATGGATAATAAGTGAGTATATTTTGTCCAAACCTCGTCATTGCTTCACCGAGTTTAGTGAAGATACTTAGTGAGTATATTGGGTTGTTCGTACTCATACTACACTTATGCACTTTGCATATAGATATCTTGGAGCTTAGCGGTTGCGACATTCGAGGATGCGCATTGGAGACTCCGGCGTTCCAGTTATTAGCTGCCATTTATTCAGGTTGCTTAGATTATTATTTTCCTGTTTTTGAATATTCAATTAGATTTGTATTTCTTCGCACCACCATTGTAAATCAAAATTGTACTGGCTCATGACTAGTACTATCAGTCCATGGGAATAGTTATATCAAATTTTAACATTCTTTTTCAATATTTATTGAATGATTTCGTCTTAGTCTATGTTATTTATTGGTTGGCTTACCTAGCAGATTGGGTTAGGTTCCATCACGACTTGGTGGGATTTTGGGTCGTAACAAAATGGTAGATTACAACTAGAACGCTAGAACATCTTCATTGCTAGCCTTCGACTTCCACAATAGCTTAGCTCCGAAATCTGCCGCAAGGTGCTAATGCATATTATGAGTATAATCGATCACATGTACTCAGTAAGAATCAAGACTAACCTCAACGAAACAAAGGCGGGATTTAGTCAAAAGATACCCACTTTATATGACATATGCACCTCATAAGCCAGTACAATAATAGAGAAATAGCTAAGACACAACCAAGGAACATCAGATATCGATAATAAGGTACTCGATATAAGAAGAATGTAATAAACATGCTTTTCCAAATAACCAAATCGAAGCATATACAAATGTACCAAATACGCATCTGAGGAAAACTTACACCAAGTAGCTTTAACTCGAATACTTCTACCTGAATGCAGAGTGTTTATGCATGATATAGACAATATTTCGCATCAATTTCGAAATAGCAACTATATGAATGATCCTACATGTGTCTAAGATGTCCATGCATGATGAAGACTCAATATATACATCAATTTGACACCTTTCAAGTGCCCAACAACCCACTAATAAGTCTCATGCATATATATATATATGATGCATGAATATGCATATGCCGATGATATGCATGTATGTTTCTACATGATTCTAGAATGCCAATGCATGCTATGACATAAATATTCACTTAAGTAATTCAAGCTTGCACCTTTATGCCCAACTAATCAACGAATACCATCACAATTTGACACTTGTTAGTGTCTACCAATTGCGCCACCAAGAGAGAAGCATGGGAGGGAGACCCTGGGAGAATGGATCTATATCCACACACTGCACAGTAAAAATCTCATGCCATAATGTCAAGATCAATAATCCCAACCATGGAATCGTGATGGCGCCTAACACAGCTGGCTAAGCAAGCCAAGACTTAGCAATAATAAGCAAAGAACCTTTAACAGTTAGCAGCATTATAATAAATATAAAGAGATAAAACTCATAAATACACAACAGGGTTACGACTCAACATTGTCTAAACCTCTTCCTGAGATTTGGTATAAAAAGTATATGAGCTACTACGAGTACTAAATATAAATTCTACAAGAAAGTTCAATACTGTCTGGTGTAATAAACACTAATTTAAGGATATTAGGGGGACTCTGTGAATAACATGCATCACCGCCTCAAGTCTCCTGAATAGCCCGACATAATCTACTCAGCGAGCGATGCTGGGACCAACACCGTTATCTATACAAAAAGTACAAAAATGCAATATGAGTAAAAATGACCCTATATACTCAATAACTATCGAGACTAACCTGGATGAGATTGTGACGAGACTATGACAAGACACTTACTATAAACTTGTATAAGTATTAACCAGAAAGTAATATCAAAATAGAGAGATGGGTTAATTCTAGTATGGCGAAACGCACAACATAACATAACATAAAAGAGAACTAAAACGTATAATTCGCCAAGGAAATATTAACACGAACAAAAAAGGATAGGCCACCAAATATTCAAGAACTAGCCTCACACTTATATATATGACAACAAAGACTTTAACAAGTCATAAACACGAGAACAATAAAAAGGTGAAACAATCTAACATACCATAGTAGAGTAAGACAGGAAACGAGTAAAGGCATAAGGCAAGTAAAGGCATGAGACAGGTAAAAGCGTGAAGCATGTAAGGCATCTATATAATAACATGTAAGATCATGTAACAAGTAAGAGAATACAATGAGTAAAGGCATGAAACAAGTAGAAGCATGTGAAAAATAAGAGATGTAACAAGTAAAAGCATATATCAGTAGAAACATGTATCAAGTAAGAGCATGTAACAAGCATAAGCATAAAACAACTAAGTACATGGTATAATTAAAGGCATGAAATACACTAGTTCACCCAACATGCATAAATCCATACATATACACTCGTCACCTTGAATATACACCATCCCTACACATAGATGACGTAGTAATTAGACCAATCACATCCTAATCCCTCAAATCGAAGTTAAACACGATAATTAGCTCTTTACGGAACAAAATCAAAAATCCAACACAACTTTTTCTTCAGAACAAGCCTCCAAACCCCTCTAATCTAGTCAAATAATACCCAAATAAGTCAAAACAAGCTTTAAAAACTAGCCTAGGATAAAAAAGTTCGATCTTTACAATATTTGGAAAAATCAATAAAAAGTCAACTCGGGCCCCTTGCTAAAAATTTGAAATTAAGACCAAATACCGATTACCCATTTATCCCCAAGTTCAAATATGTAATTTGTTTCGAGATCAAACCTCAAATCAAGATCTAAATCTCTAAAATACAAAATCCTAAATTGCTACCCAAAAACCTTATTTCTACTCTATGAAATCCCACATTTATGGATTAGATCTATGGAAAGTGATGGATTTTTTTTTCCAAATAAGTTAACGTTACTAACCCTTGAAGTAGGGAAGAAAATCTCTTCGAAAATCGCTTCCCACAATGCTTACGTCTCAAAAATTGATTAAAGTGAGTAAATCTTGAAAGCTCCTATTTTACCTAGCTGCAGATACTGAACTTACGAACTTTTGTTTGCAATTGTGCAGCTATCAAATGTGAACCTGAAGTCGCAAATGCGAAGTGCCATCGAGGCTCAGATGTTGCAAGTGAGACACAAACATCGCAATTGCGAGGATCGCAAAATCGACTCCAACTTTGCAAATTACGAAGCTGGCCCTTTCCCTTCCCATTTCACAAATTCGAGGCTTCCTGTGCAAATGTGATCCTCGCATTTGCGAGAAGTTCATCGCAATTGCAATGACTGTAGCACCAAAAACACCAAGTCTTGAAAAATCATTTTGAAACAAATCTGAAAGTCACTAGAGCCCCTCGAGCCCACTCCAAATATCCAAATAAGTATAATAACCTCATATGAACTTGCTCGTAAGCTCAAAATATCAAAATAACATCTACAATAAAAATCAAGCATCAAAACTCAACTATTACAATATTCATAACTTCATATTTTAAACTTTTCACAGTATGTGCATAAATAGCCTCATATCACTCAGGACCCCAACCAAATATGCGCACAAGACCAAAATAATCATGCGAACCTATTGAAATCGTCAAAATACCGATCCAAGGTTGTTAACAAAAAATGTTGACATTTGTCAACTCCAACCATTTTCAAGTTCAAATTTAACATTTTCTTTGAAAAATCACATTTAAATCTTTCTAAATCCATAACGGACAATGCACACAAGTCATAAATAATCAAATAAAGCTATATAAGGTTTCAGATCATGAAACGGGGAGCTAGAACTCAAAACGACCTATCAGGTCGTTACATTCTCCACCTCTAGAAGAAAATTCATCCTCAAACGAACATAGAAATGTAGTTGAACTGGCAAAAAGATGCGGATATCTACTCCGCATATCGGACTCAGACTCCCAATTAGCCTCCTCAGTCGGCTGACCTTTCCGAAGCACCTTCACGCAAGAAACATCCTTATATCTAGGGGATGTGCATTTGGATCGGATATCCGAAATCCGAATCGATCCGCTCACTTTCAGATTTTGAAATTCGGATTTTGGGTCTTTGGATCAGATTTCGCATTCTATTTATTAGGATTTTGTATACCCGGATCGGGTTCGGATTAGTATAATTTTAACTTGATCCGACCTGAAATCCGAAATTATTAGGGCATGTATAAATACTAAACTTTAACTTTGGATAGCCAGTACTTCCTTTACATTTTCCTCCAAGTTATTACCTTTACGATAGTTGAATTTAGCTACATTGGAACCATAGTACCCTCATAACTGCATAAACCTGAATTTTTCTTGATGTATTGCCTCTTCTACAAAGAAAATATAAGTATGAGTTTTGCAGCTTAATGAGAAGCATAAACACTCGAATCTCCGAAGAAATATTTTCTTAGAGATGCAATGCTGATAAAAGGGATGAAAAGCAAAGAGATGTTTCTATTAGCACAGAACACAGAAGAAGCAGATAAGGCAGATGCATTAGCCAATTAGATTAGTAATAGCCTTAAAAATACGTATAATCCGACCCGAAAATACAAAATATGTATCCGATCCAAAGTTTAAAATTCGATTTGATCTGATATTAGTTCGGATCGGATTTAGATTGTATTTTGTATAACCCGAAATCCGAAATGTGCTAAAACCGATCCGATCTCATCCATGCACAACCTTACTTAGATCTCAACTTCCAAAACTGCCGATCTGCAATAGCTACTGGCTCTTCTTCATATGACAAGTTCTTATCAAGCTGCACTATGTTGATATCCAATATATGCGACTTGTTTTCATCATACACCTGAAGCACACAAATGTGAAATATCGAATGTACCCTTGCTACGCTGGGAGGCAATGCAATCATATAATCAACCTCCCCAACTCTCTCTAACACCTCAAATAGGCCAATAAGCCTCGAGCTCAACTTGCCATTCTTCCCAAATCTCATCATAACCTTCATATGCGAAACTTTCAAAAGTACCTTCTCACCCTCCATATAAGCCACGTCATGGACCTTATTGTCCGCATAACTCTTCTACCTACTCTACATTGTCCGAAGGCTATCCTAATTGATAGGGTCAAGAGAGCCAAGCATTGAGAAGGTCCTTCAGGGACCAAGTAGACTAAGAGATGTTCTTTACTGTTTTCTTTTAGCTTAGATTAAGATTTCGATGTAATAGGGCTAAATGCCATAAGTAACTTTATTATTATCAATTTAGTAAAAGTTTGTTTTGACTCATTTTTTGGATTAATGAAATGAAGCAAGTGGTTGCATCAATTTTCTACATGTCTCTCGCTTAGGCCTACCTCAGGCATGATGATGTCCCAAATTAGGACGTGAATTATTGCATGACTTTGTGAAACATGTTTAAATATTGCGAATATTTTATGATTTCACCTTGCTAACTTGATTGCGTTTTTGCTTTTTCTTTTCTTTTTGATCATTCCCCTTCCCAAAGTTTGGTTCGTGCATACTAGTATCATCAGCATACCACACCAGATCTAGAGGATATCCACTGAGCAGCCCCAAAGGCAATGGTAAACAAAAAGGGAAGATGGATGATTTAAGTGGTATCAGGAAAGACAATGCTACTATAGCGGAAAACGTTAAAACTTTAGATGGCCGAAGTACTCCGGGACAGAATGAGTTGATCTTACGTTTGGAGCAGAAAATCCTGGAACTACAAGGTGAGCTTGAGGAGGTCCGAAATTTGGCAAACCTCTCGCTTACTCTCAATGTTCCCAACATTAACCAGCAAAACCCGACTACCCAGAACCAAACACCACCGCAAAAAATACAAAACAAACACCCACCATCAAAATCCTCCCGCACCACCCTAGTATCCTGCACCTACCCAGAACCTTAACCCACCACCAGTACCAACCCCTCAACAACACCACCATCATCCATCCCAATACTCACAAACCACTACTTATCACACTCCCCAAAATGCACCACAACCTACTCCCGATCCCAAAAACTCGACCAACAACTACCCATATACCCAAGTTCCAGGAACCCATCAAAGTCATCCTATATAGGTAGAAACCTTACCTCATAACACATAGAACACCCTATACATACCCGAATCAACCGAGAAGGACGTGCTTATTAAAAACATGGCAGAGGAACTCAAGAAGCTCACTGGTAGAGTGTAGAGTGTTGAAGGTGGTAAAGGCGTTGAAGGTCTAAACTATGAGAACCTATGTACCCAGCCGGATGTGGAACTGCAGGAAGGTTATAAACCTCCCAATTTCGAAATGTTCGATGGTACTGGTGATCCGAAGGTTCATTTGAGAACATATTGCGATAAGCTTGTAGGAGTGGGGAAAAATGAACAAATTCGCATGAAACTGTTCATGTGAAGCCTCACATGAGACACCTTGTCTTGGTATATCAGTCAAAACCCAAAGAAGATGGTTAGTTGGGTGAGTATGGCATAAGATTTCATGGATAAATTCCGGTTCATCACAAAAAATGCACCAGACGTTTTTCACATTAAAAACCTCAAGAAGAAGCCAACAGAAACCTTCTGCGAGTGTGCTACTCGTTGGAGATCAGAGGCCGCAAAGGTAAGTGTGGCACTTGAAGAAGAACAAATAATTAAGTTCTTTGTTAGAGCACAAGATCTGCAGTATTACGGAGGTTCATGGTCATTGAAAATCACATGTTCTCCGACATCATCAAGCAAGGAGAAAGAATAGATGAAGGAACTAAGAATTGGATGGTGACAAATTTCAAGGCATTGCAGGCCACAAATAAAGCTTTGCAATCAAGAGATATTTCGAAGAAGAAAGAAGTGGGTGCTGTGATGGTAGCCCAAGGCCCTAAGTCTCCCCTCATATACCAAGCACCTCTACCCACATATCAACCCTCATCGCCAAGATACCAACACCCTGCTGCCACCTACCATACCTATAATACTGAACATGCATATTACCATTCACCACCGCCCGCCCGCCAAAACTACCCGAAGCCACGTCCAAATTTTGACCGCAGACTTCCTAGATAATACACCCCAATTGCTGAAACTATAGACCAATTGTATGAGAGACTAAAGGCCGCTGGTTATGTTATTCCCTTTCTTGCTGTTGTTATGGAAAATTCCTCCCAGTGGATCAACCCCAAAAAACATGTGCTTATCATGCATGCATGAAGGGTCATACTATTGAGAAGTGTCGCATGTTGAAAGACAAGATTCAGACGCTAATCGACACTAAGGTCATACAAGCAAAGAAAGCGGCACCAAATTTTCGTATCAACCCTCTCCCGAATCATAGAGGTGAGGGAGTGAACGTGATAGAAACTGACAAAAAATGGGATCAAGAGGGGTTCATTGGACTTATTCGAGAGTGAGATGCTCCTAAAACATCTGCGTTCACCCTCACGCCAGTTGTGGTACAAACCCAGACGCCATTTGAAGTCGAGGTAACTACACCCTTCACTATGATAGTAGCTCCCACACTATCTTACAAGTCTGATGTCGTCCTGTGGGATTACGTTGCGGAGGCAAGAAGAAAGGGAAAAGCAAAAAATTGAGGAAATAGGTGTCGCGCAAGGTATGACTAAAACTGGCGAAGCTTATACACCTAAGAACCTGGGAGGAACAAGCAAGGAAGTTGCACCTAAGCCGCCTGTTGTTGAGAATGGCACTGACGATCTTTAGAGAAAGGTGCAAACAAGGGAGTACTCTGTTGTTGACCACTTGAACAAAACTCCCGCTCAGATATCCATCTTATCACTACTGCAAAACTCGGACGCACAAAGGAATGCTTTGATCAAGGTGTTGAGTGAAGCTTGTGTACCCACTAGCATCACTAGTAGAGAGATGGCTAAAATGGTCGGACATGTATTGGAAAGTTACATAATCACTTTCCATGAAGATGAATTACCACCAGAAAGACTGAGTCACAATAAGGCATTGCACATTACAGTGCAATTTTAAGATAAGTTCATCGCCAAGATCTTGATAGACGGGGGTTCGAGTCTTAAGATATGTCCACTGGCCACTCTAAAGAGACTAGGTAAAAGTCTGCATGAGATATGAACGGGAAACATGAATGTGAAGGCATTTGATGGATCTCATAGAGCCATCATTGGAGAAATCAATCTCATTCTACAGATGGGTCCGACCTGGTTTGATATCGAGTTCCAAGTGCTAGGCATATCTACTACTTACAATCTATTGTAAGGACAACTCTGGGTATATACCGCCGGGGCAGTGGCCTCAACTCTGCACCAGGCTGTGAAGTTTGAGTGGAATCATCAGGAGGTGATCATCTATGGAGATGGAAGCAACCCTATCTACACCAACCAGACCGTTGCAGTTATCGAACACAGAAGAAAGCCGGATGGAGAAACATACCATCGTATTGAACGAGTCAACGCAATTCAAGGACCAATGGTTAAGCAACAAAATAGAAAGCATACTGTTGTGGATGGGGTATGAACTCGGCAAGGGTCTCGGCAAAAAGTTTAAGGGGATGACCAAATGCATTAACCACAATATCATGGCACGACTTTTGGACTTGGATATGAATACACATGGAAAGAGTACCAGGATCGGACACCAACATGGCATGCTCCTTATTATTCACTGGAACAACCCGTACCACCTCTGCACCAGACATTCCATCAGGCTGACATGATATGGGGATCTAATAAAATGAGGTTTTGGCTGGCATGGGGAAGTTGTTTCTAGATGAAGAAAACATGGACTGTAGTGCAATTGTTGAGGGGGAGAGGAGGAAGACCTTACCATTCAAACCATGGAAGAAGGAGTTGTTCTCAAGAACTCGACCGCTACACCATCCCTGACCCGTCGAGATCCTGGATAGCTTGGAAAATAATCATGAATTATTTTCAAATAGTATTAAGCATTCGAGACATATTTCAGTATCTTGTTTTGAAATAATTACTTGAGCCATCGAGTTGTACTTGTTGAAATTTTTAAAAGTTTTATTAATGCATTACTACTTTTTATATTTATTGTTATATTTCTATATTTCTTTTCAGCATATTTATTACATATCCTCATGAACCTACAATATGACACGTATGAGACAACGCAACATAAAGACAATGATTCGGAGGATCTAGAGGATGATATAATACCTGAGGTTGCTAACGAAGTAGAGGACTTTGAAAACAAACCAAAGTCTAATTTGGAGGAAACTAAGACCGTTTACTTAGGGGATTCCGAAACGATCAAGGAAACGCGTATAAGTATTCATCTATCACCGTCGGAGAAGGAGGAGTATATCATATTCCTAAAAGAATATGAAGACATCTTTGCATGGTCCTACAACGATATGGCTGGGTTAAGCACATCCATAGTAGCTCACAAGCTACCCCTCAATCCCATGTGTCCATTGGTAAAGTAGAAGCTCAGACAATTCAAGCCAGATATGAGTTTGAAGATAAAAGAGGAGGTCACCTAGCAAATCAAAGCCAAGGTTCTCCGAGTGATCGAATAACCGACTTGGTTAGCCAACATTATGCCAGTTCCAAAGAAAGATGGGAAAGTTAGAATATCTGTCGATTACCGAGATCTAAATAGAGCGAGTCCACAAAACACAGGTTTCCATGCACTAACATTATGGCAGAATATGAAGCCTGCATCCCGGGACTCAGGTTAGCCATTGACATGAACATTCAGGAGCTACTGGTAATCGGAGATTCAGATCTGTTGGTGCACTAGGTTCTAGGAGATTGGGCTACGAAGAACACTAAAATATTTCCATATTTGCACTGTGTACAAGAGCTGATTAGGAGGTTCACAAAGATAGAGTTCAAACATGTTCCAAGGATTCAGAATGAGTTTGTAGATGCATTAGCCACTTTGTCTTCCATGATACAACACCCAGCCAAGAAGTTCATTGAACCTATCCCAATAGGAATTCCTAAGCAGCCAGCTTATTGCACTCATGTTGAAAAAGAGATTGACGGAAATCTGTGGTTCCACGACATCAAGAAGTACCTGGAAAAGGGAGAAT